ACATTCCCAGGATTTGTAATAACCTAATTATGTAATTTTATTAAACATTTGAAATATTTTTTCAGAGCTTTTAGAATAAAAAGTCCTTTAAGATAAAAATATGAAATATTCATTATAAAGTACTGCTATACAGGCACTAAAAAAAGAATTTGAATGGCATCATCAATTAAAAATATGTAATTTTAATTAATTGATAATTAAAGAAGATATGAGAGAGAGAGTTACTTTATATTTAAATGGCATCACCAAATTTCAATTGGAAATGGGGTGGATGTTGTACTCCCGGCACGACGGTCACTGGTGTAACCTCACATGAGTCAATTTCAAGACTCATTTTAATAATTTAAACCGTTTACATTTTAAAATATATCAAGTAAAATATACATGTAAAAATTCAAATTGATCAGACATTATTAACCTTTTCATCGACTTACATTTCTATTCAATTTTATATCTCAAATCACAATTATCATTTATTTTGTAGATACAAATGTGAGTCAATGAAAAGGTTAATGATGTCCGATCAATTTGAATTTTTGCAAGTATAATCTATTTGATGTAATCTAAAAGGTAAATGATTTAGATTATCGAAACGAGTCTTGAAATAAGCTTATTTGAGGGTACAACAATGCTTACTTTCTCGGAAGCACAACATTTTTTCCATTTCCATTTCCATTTCAAGGGGTTGTGTTAGAATAAATTATTTTAGTAATCGACAATGCTATGTAACTCAAATTTTGTGGCTCAAAAGTGGCTCAAATGACCAAAACGACATCGTACAGAACAACATAAAAACGGCCAAAACGACGTCGTTTTGGCCATTTGAGCCACTTTTAAGCCACAAAATTTGAGCTACGAGACATTTTCCGTGATCCAAATTCAATGAAAAGACAATAAGTATACTTTTTTAGGAGCTACCAAACAACCTCCAATTATGTAAAAAAGTAGACAAAATAATTACAGATGAGTGGAGAATTAATTTTAATTGAAACTTATGTCTATTTTAGAAAGTAGATTAAAAACTAATTTATTGACTTTTTGACTATTTTAGATCATATCACCTTTTTTTTTTTTTACATATTTTTTCAAAAACATTTAAAAATTAATTTTTAACCTATTTTCTAAAATAAGCCTTAGAGTATGGTTATACATTATGCAAACCACCCAAAACGCCCCATTACTGCACCGTAAGTTGCTTCCCTTAGTCACGGGCCGCCATGACCATTAATGCTCCAATTACTATTTTTAGCAAAAGTCTTTAAAAACTAAATTCGTGCCAGTCAATTAAACTAACTCCTAGTTTATTGCAGAATATTTTTAATCATGATTTACCAAAGAATTTTTAACATGACCAAATTAATTTTTGTTTAAGGATCATTAGATGGAGTGTTAAATTTTAACAACAATTGAGTTGGGTACAAATATCTTTACATTTGTTTGAAAGTAAGCTTTTTAAAATTTCGAGAGGTTAGATTGGGCTTGTGCTCATCACATGAAGTCCAAATTTTTTCCGAAAGTATAAACCATATCCATATATAAAAATGGTTTGGGATACACTACTATATAAAAGTATACTTTTTATCTCTTTATTTTTTTAGATCACATTATTTTTTTATTTTTTTTATATATTTTTTATAAAAAATTAAAAAAAATACATTTATTTAAGTGATTCCGAATAAATCCTAATTGAACTTTTTAATGGGTGAAAAGGTGAAGGTAGGAGTACAAATAGGGAGAGGCACGGGACATGGAAGGGAGGGCATGATAATAGTGACTTACTGAAATTATAGTTTGGTAAACAATAATACTATCGTTTGGGACTAAATTTTTTAATTAAAAGGTTAAAAAAAAATTTAAATTGTTGCATTATTTTTTTATTACATTTTTTCTTTAAAAATTAAAAAATAATTAGAATAGCATGTTTTGAAAATTATCAAAATCTAATTTAGATAAAGGGAGATTGTAATTCATTGGATTATTTGTCCTATGATACATTGTCTCCGGATTATTTGGTTGAACTGAATTTGTATCCTATGCTTGTTTAGTCATGGGATTAGATGTCTGGATTGGACTATTTTTAATTATCCAATGTTTGTTTGGGATATTATGGAGAAGGATAAATGCTCAAATGACCATTTTATCATTTTTAATTATTTACTAAGTAATAGTAATATTAAACATAACTTTAATATTTTAATTATTTTTAGCTAGATTAAATAAAAATTTATTTTATTTTATTTTTTACATAATTAAATAAATTTATTTTAAATAATAATAATAATTAAATAATGAAATAAAATAAAACATCTATTAAAATTTAAATAATGAAATTAAATAAAATATAAACAAAATTTTAAAATAAAACATCAATAAAGTATCTATAAAAAATATTTTAAAAAATTAAATAAATAAAACAAAAATAAAAATTAAATAAAATTATTTTATTTTTAAATTGAAACATTTAAATTTTATTGAATTTTTACTAAATATAATACATAATTAAATACTATAGCGCAAAAATATAATTTTATTGTCTAATCCCATGAGATAAGTTATCCCATGGTTTTTATTCCCTTCCCATGGGATAGCATAGTCCCACAAATATGAGACTAATAGTCCGGAGCAAAACTTTTGAAACAAACAATGGACTATTAGTCCGGTGAGATTAATAGTTCAATCTCATACCCTAATCCTTCAAAACAAACACACCATATGGCCACGTTTGTTTGGCGGATTAGGTTGGATGAGATTGTTAGCGAAATGATTGTTAGTGAATGGATTGTTAATGTGTGGACTGTTATTGAAGAGATTAAGTAAAAGTGTGTTTGTTTTGATGATAATGTGGGAGATAATTAGTGATGAGATTGTTAAATTATTTTTATATAAAATAAATAAATAAATTATTTCTATAATAAAAAAATTAAAATAAATATTAAAGTAAATAAGTGCACTTGGTAAAAAAAATGAAATTAAAAAAATAAATTTTTTATATAAAATAGACTCAATCCCCTCACTATTTTCCTAATCCCACCCAAAATCTACCCAAGCTAATTCCCCCTATGTGAGGATATTCATAGTCCCATGGGACTACTAGTCCTCTCCTATTTTTGTCAACCAAACATGGGCTATGTAGGGCCTACGGGATTGGTAGTCCAATCCCCCCACCTATGAGTCAAACAAGCATGGCCTATAAGTATACTTTTTATCTTTTTATTTTTTTAAATCCCATCATTATTTTATTTTTTTGTATATTTTTTCATCAAAAATTAAAAAAATACACTTATTTAAGCCATTCCGAATAATTCCTAATTGAGCTTTTTAATGGGTGGAAAGGTGAAGGTGGGAGTACAAATTAGGGGTGCAACTCGAGCGGGTTTGGTCGAGTTGGGAGGTTGTCCAAGCCCAGCCCAAGTTGTGCTGAGACTTGCCCAAGCCCGAATTGTAACCCGAGGTTGTCTGCCCAAGCCCGACCCGAGTTAAACCCAAATTGCCCGAGTTGCCCGAATTGCAAATGAATTTCAATTTTCTTTTTCCCAGCTACATTATTAAATTATTAAAATTTGACTCTATTTACAATTTTTTAAAAAAAATAGAAAATCATTAATACCATCAAAACAAATAATTTATATAATGTAAGAGATATGTAACTATAGTAATCCTTACAATTTATGAGTAAAAAAAAAAAAAGATTTTATGTTATTTATATATATAATATATATTCCATATGATTTAATAATATAAATTATTTTAATATCATGTAATGACTAATAATTTATATATATATTTAATATTTTTATATATCTATATATGTATAATTCGGGCTTTGGGTTGCTCAGGTTGCTTGACGTCTTTATCCAAGCCCGCCCAAATTTAATTCAGGCTTTTGAATTTTTGCCCAAACCTGTACCGAATTTAAAAATATTTTGTTCAAATTCTAAAAAAATTCAGACTGAATTCGAATTGCTCGGATTGAACCCGCCCAAGTTGCCCCTAGTACAAATAGGGAGAGAGGCATGGGACATGGAAGGGAGGGCATGATAATAGTGACTTACTGTAATTATAGTTTGGTAAACACTAATACTATCGTTTGGGACTACATATTTTAATTAAAAGGTTAAAAAAAAATTAAATTGTTGCATTATTTTTTTTATTACATTTTTTCTTTAAAAATTAAAAAATAATTAGAATAGCATGTTTTGAAAATTATCAAAATCTAATTTAGATTCATCTGACGCATAAACTCCAACTAAACCAATTTAATTTCCATCACATTTAAATTTTGAGAAAAAATCTAGATCATTCTTTGGGTAATTAGGGTACTATTTGGCATCCTTTATATTAACATATTTTTTTATATTTTTTTATACCACATCATCTCTTTATTTTTTTTATATTTTTATAAAAAATAAAAAAAAATATACTTATTTAAATTATTTTCATGTTTGGCAAATTTAAAATTGAATTTAATCATTTTGTGATTGGGTTGAGATTCTCTGCTGGAAGGTATTGTTCAAGCTTAATGACTCACCACTAATTTGACAATTTGAATTGCTCGCTTTACAAAATCTTTTATCTGTCATTTATATAAAAATTAGATCAATTTGATAAAAATTTATTTATTTTATTGTGTTTGTCTAAAAAAAATTATTTTCAAAAATATCTTGTCATTTATATTTTAAAATAAAAATAAAATAAATAAAATATGTTATAATTATCAAATTAAATTAATAATATTTTTAATTATTTTGCTACTTTCCACGAAATTATAATTTTCAAAAAAATAAAAATAAAAAGAATCAATAAAAAAAGGGTGAAGACCAAACCTTCTATTCTATGTCGAATAGCGAACCTTCTATGCACGCGTTTAAAGAAACCCACCCCGGTGCACGTGCTCTCTCGTCTGGGATTCGGTATTGTCTGTCCACGTGTCAACCCCTCCTCCCATTACCCCAATCCAGGTGTTCTCTCTCTCTCTCTCTGTCTCTTATATATGTACGCAGCCTCTATCTCTTCCAGTTCCGATAAAGCCTAAAATGCCCTAGGCGGACCCAAACGAGGTCGTTTCAACTCCGTACTTCGACGCTCGCCGGATATATGCGTACACCACTTTTCCGATTAACCGGAGACCAATAGTTGATGCGGTGATTGAGATTATTCCGGCGATGGAGACGGAGGTTCAAGCAAACTACACCTACATGGGACGGAGCTTCGGCGATTTGAGCATCAACGACGATTCATCGTCCGCCTTCAGTGATTGCAACAGTGATCGATCCGGCGAGTTTCCGACTACGTCGTCTCAGAGCCGCCGGCTTCTCCTCGCTTGCACTTCCGAGAACTCCGACGATCTGATCCGACAACTCGTCTCCGATCTCGAATCCTGTTCGATAGAAGGGCAAAAGGAAGCGGCGATGCAGATCAGGCTCCTCGCGAAGAACAAGCCGGAAAATCGAATCAAGATCGCACAAGCCGGTGCGATCAGGCCGTTGATTTCTCTAATCTCATCCTCTGATCCTCAGCTTCAAGAGAACGGCGTTACAGCGATTCTAAATCTATCTCTATGTGATGAGAACAAAGAGCTGATAGCCTCGTCTGGAGCAATCAGACCTCTCGTGAGAGCTCTCAAGGTCGGAACATCAACGGCGAAAGAGAACGCGGCTTGTGCTCTGCTTCGCCTATCGCAAGTCGAAGAGAACAAGATCGCAATCGGACGGTCGGGAGCGATTCCTCTACTCGTGAATCTTCTGGATACAGGCAATTTCAGAGGGAAAAAGGACGCATCGACGGCTCTGTATCTGCTATGTTCGGTGAAGGAGAACAAAATCAGAGCCGTTGAGGCTGGAATCATGAAGCCTCTGGTGGAGCTAATGGCTGATTTCGAATCAGATATGGTGGATAAATCGGCGTTCGTGATGAACGTGTTGGTATCGGTGCCGGAAGCGAGGACGGCGTTGGTGGTGGAAGGTGGAATACCGGTCCTGGTGGAGATCATCGAGGTTGGGTCAGCGAGACAGAAGGAGATTGCGGTGGCGATACTGTTGCAGATTTGCGAGGATAGTGTGCCGTACCGTACTATGGTGTCCCGCGAAGGAGCGATTCCTCCTCTGGTTGCATTGTCGCAGTCTGGGACCAGTCGCGCTAAACAGAAGGTAAATTTTATTCATTCCCGTCGACTTTTCTTTTTACTGTAAATTGTGACTGTTTGTTTTCGGTCTCGTTTATTTTCTTTCATTTCATTTCTTCCAAGTTTTTAAAACTAAAATCATTAAAATTGGTTTGATGATCTGGAAAAAAAATTTATTACCTTTTTTAACTAATTGCTTTTAGAATTTTTTTTTGCTTTTTATGTAATCCGACATTGGTGATTGATCACATAATGTACGTTTTGTTGGCAAACTAATTGAAAAGGAATTATTGTAAATTTATGATACCACTGTCAAACTAGCTAAAAAATGCATCATTTATTAATGTTTTAACTAAATTTAGAAATTTTTTTTTTTTTTGCAAATCTTTAATAATTTTTATTTTGTGTGATGAATTTCTTATTATTTTTGGTAATTTTCGATGACAAAGGATAGCCGCCAGTACTTTTGGACACCGTTTAATATTAAAATACTTTATAAAATTATTTAGAAAATAATGAAAAGATTAGTCAAATTGAACAAATAAAAATATTTAAAATCATGAAAAAATTATTTTTGCATTTTTCAATTTTTTTTTGTCCTTTATTTTATTTTGTTTTTTTGTATCTAGGCGTGACTCATAATGGAAATGACTACCAATTTTGGTCCACGCTGGTAGATCTTACCTGTAGCTACATTATTTTCAGGGCTATAATTGTCCTTTTCTTATGGATGCCCATAAAGGTTGGTAGTTGTAAAAAAGTTCAATACTAAGCCTGTGTTTGGCAAGTGGGTTTGGAGGCTTTTTTGACTATTTTAGCCACAAAAAACAAAATAGGCTATTTTAGTCATAACAAACAAAACATCACATCCAACCCATAATCATTATATTTTTCTCTCACAAAAAAACTCAAAAAAGCCAAAAAGCCAAAAAGCCCTTCCCAAACCAAGTTTTTAAGCCCAGGCTAAAATAGCCAAAAAAGCTAAAAAGCCAAAAAGCCAACCCACTTCCCAAACCAAGCCTAAATGTATTTTGAAATTGAAATATCCGAAATGATCTCTTTTCATATTTTTTATAATTATTTTTTTGTTTAGGGAGAATTATAAAAAAGTGACATCAACGTAAAAATAATTATATTATAATATCATGAAAGTATAATTAATTTATGCAATTATGTCTTATTTTTTTATTTTTTATAATTATTTTGAGTTTATATAATTTTTTTGCAATTGTCTTTTTTATTTTTTTTGGATATTTTTGTTTCGATCAGAATCTGACAGAGTGTGGTGTGTAATGTTGTTGGGTTGGGTGGACAGGCGGAGACACTGATTGAGCTTCTACGGCGACCAAGATCCGGCAACGCCGCTTCCAGGACTTCAGATCTATCAGTTTAAGCGTCCAAATGTAATCATACAAATCCACAATTTTCCAATAAACAAATGAAAAAAATGCAAAAAAAAGAAAACAAAAGGACAAATGGAAGCAAAGAAAAACTGTAAATAGGTGGTGATGGTGGTGATGTTGTAGTGAGAGAGCTTGTAAATTTTTGAAATGGTTTTTGGAGCTTTGTTGTTTTTGATTGGTTTTTACAAGTTTTGAAATTTTGTATTGAAATTGTCTTCTAATTATTCTGTTGTAGTGTGCCCTCTCTCAACTTCTTTTTGTTGACAAAATTAAATGAAAGGTAAATTAGTACTCCCACTTGGAGAAAAGGGCTTAGTCCATTGAGAGAAATAACCATGCAAAAATTAATAAAGAACAAAATTTTTTTTTTTTTTTTAATGTTTATGGGTATTTATGGCAAAATTGTGTAAGGGAGGGGAAGTCCACAACACTATATTTTAAAAAATAATAATAAAAATTTTGTGTGTATAATTTATCAAAACAAATAGGTAGATATTTATGTATTGTTTGAATAGTTGAATAAAAATGAAATAGAATGTTCATTCTATTAAAATATTTGTTATTACATTTGATTTAGGCCAAGTTTGGCATGACTTAAATAATAAAAAAAGTCAAAAAGTCACTATCATATTTAAGTCACATCATCTTATTTAAATCACATTACCTCTCTAACACATCACATCAAATTCAATCCAAACTCAATCCATATAAGACAATAAATTAAAAAGTACATTTTTTTAAAATATCCCAAACCAACCCTTACAAAGAAATTGATAAAAATTTGAATGGCAAGTAAATTATTATTCACCATTGTAAATTAATGGTAATGGAATAAGAAGAAATTCTGTCTACCAGTAATAGTAAATTATTATTCCTTTTAGTCTTTTCACTTTACCAAAAAGTTTAGTTTAAATTGGAGTCCAAAATTAAACATTAAAAAATATATATATTTGTTGTTTTCAAAAAATATATATATCTGCCAAATTCTATTTTGGGAATTTGGATATAAGTTATTTTTTATCTTATATCTAAGCTTTTTAACTTATTTACAAAATTAAAATTATTTGGCGAGATGAAAAAAAATTGTTCTTTTGTTTTTTTTGTTTTTCTCAATATTATGGTGTCACATCACTAGGCAAATAGGTAAATTTATCATATTATTCCCATGTAATTTTATGAAATTACAATTTTACTATCATAAGAGGTTATTTTAGTGTTACATCACAAGAGAGTATTGTGGTAATTTTGGAAGTTGGCTTATTTTTAACTTGGTTTGTGGTTAAAATAGTCACAAAAGATAAAATATATTATTTTAGTCACAATAAATAAAACATCGCATCTAACTCATAATCATTACACTCTTCTTTCATAAAAAAATCAAAAAAATTAAAAAATCAAAAAATCCTTTTCAAATCAAACTTTTTAACCAGACAAATAATTAAAAAAATTAAAAAAATCAACTCACTATCCAAACGTACACTTTTTTCCCCTCAAAAAAACTTACTTTTGACTTTTTGATTAAATAAAAAAACAAAAAAAAAAAACAATTTTTATTTTTGATAGGCCAGTTTATCAATATGAGGACATGGATAAAAAGTTCCAAATTTATTGTCAGTTTTACTTTTGCAAACACTTTAATTTTTCAATTTTTCCAACATCACAAAATTCTCTCCACAAGCTTTAGGCCCGGTTTGACTGTTCGTATGGGATATAAGGCGTAGTTTGTTTTTAGAGATAGAATAAAAGAGATCAATAGTAAATGGATTAATAGTGGGGAGATTACGTAAAATTATATTTATTTTTATGATAGTTGTTAGTGTAGAAATTGTTAAATTATTTTTATATAAAATAATAAAATAAATAAAAAAATATAAAAAATTAAACATTAATATTTATAAAAAAAAAATCCCAATATATAACAAATAAAAAAAATAAAAAAATTTCTAATCCCCTCACTATTTTTCTAATACCATCTCCCCAACCTCCATCTCAATACCCTCCCCAACCTCCATCTATATCACCTCCACCATCCTAATCCCCTCCCCAACTCTACAAACAAACACAACATTAAATAACACCTCCACCATCCTAATCCCCTCCCCAACTCTACAAACAAACACAACACTAAATAACACGTCCACCATCCTAATCCCCTCCCCAACTCTACAAACAAACACAACACTAAATAACACGTCCACCATCCTAATCCCCTCCCCAACTCTACAAACAAACAGGAGTCCGGCCGGACTCCATGTCCCCCATATGGGGGACTATCCTATCCTGGGGGGGTGGGATTGTTTTGGGGGGACTAATCACTGTTTGGATTAGATGCGAAAATGATCATTTTGACCCTCTACTATTTAATTATGTATTATATTTAGTAAAATTTAATAAAATTTAAATGTCTTAATTTAAAAATAAAATAATTTTATTTAATTTTTATTGATGTTTTATTTATTTAATTTTTTAAAATTAATTTTTTATAGATATTTTATTGATGTTTTATTTTAAAATTTTGTTTATAATTTATTTAATTTCATTATTTAAATTTTAATATGTGTTTTATTTAAAATTTATTTAAAATTTTAATTAAAAAAATAATATAAATTTTTTATACAGGTTATACAGTATTTTATTAAATCAAATTTAGTGGTTATTTATTTATTTAATTGTGTAAAAAAATAAATTTATTTAATTGTGTAAATAAACAAACACAGTAAAGTTTTGCATGTAAAAAAAATAATGATTTGTTATACAGTAATGATTTAAAACAAATTTTATTGATATTTTATTTATTTATTTATTTATTTTAAAAAAAATGAATTTATTTAATTAAAAATAATTAAAATATTAAAGATATGTTTAATATTGCTATTACATAGTAAACAATTGAAAAAGGGTAAAATAGTCTTTTGTTCATTTATCCTATCCAGTCCGTCCAACCAAACGTTGGATTCACTGAAAATAGTCCTATCCAGACATCTAATCCCATGAAAAAACAAACACAGGATACATATCCAATCCGACCAAATAGTCCGGGGGATTCACAGTCTCAGGACTCAAGTCCGATGGATTCTAATCCCCCATTTTCCAGTCCGTCCAATCAAACACACCCTAAGAGTTTGAAAATGATATGTAATATTAAAAAAGAAAGATAAAATATAATATGTGATAGAGGATGAGATATAAGAGTTTGAGGAAGATATATAAAATTTAAGAATAAGGATGAGATATAATATGTTATAGGATATGAGATGAATTATATATACTGTAGGGTCACTTATACCATGTTTAGTTAAGATATGATATACGATGGAACAAGAGGAGAGTAATTATTTTTGACCTTTGAATAAAAGATGAGTTATATCCGAGAGTGGGAATATGCAATATACAATACTATGGGGGTTGGTTTGCATATCTCCCATTTTACATCATATAATATCCGGACTCCTCATATCCGGAATAATCAAATACAAAATATAAAGAGACAAAAAAATATATATAAAATTCACCTCATATTATATCCGATCTCACACTCATATCTGACTTTTATATTCAGTAAACAAATAACGTCTTGAGTCTCAAAATAAATTGTTACTTGAAATATGAGGGGTTAGAGAATTGTAAACTCAAAATTGATAATAAAAATGAAAAGCCAAAAACATCTCTCTCAACTTTCCAATAGCTGCCTTTTTATGCCTCCGTTTGGGAAATGAGTTGGTTTTTTGGCTTTTTGATTTTTTTGACTATTTTAGCCTGGGCTTAAAAGCTTGGTTTGGAAAGGGTTTTTTGGCTTTTTTGAGTTTTTTTGTAAGAGAAGAATGTAATGATTATGGGTTTGATGTGATGTTTTGTTTGTTATGACTAAAATAGTCTATTTTATTTTTTGTGACTAAAATAGTTAAAAAAGCCCAAATCATAGCTTCCCAAACGAAGCCTATGTATATATAAACTATTGTTGTCTCATAAAAAATAGAAATCATATTCAAAATAAAACTATTGTGGTAACGTTTATCATGTGATTTTAAAATTTGTGAGGAGAATGTAAGCACACCTCAAAAAGTTTTAAGTTTATCAATTTCTATAATAATAAAAAATAAAAATTGTGCAATTGTTCATAATTGACTTTACTACTGCCACAGCCATTTTGGATTAAGGTAAGGCTTTTAATTATTAGTCATATATTACCAGAACAATGATTACTTTTGTTGAAACTAAAACTGTTGCTTTATATAAAAGTTAAGTACGTACATTTTTTTAATTATAATATTTTGCGTTATAATAAAATCAAATGCATCACAATCAGAATCCCAAATGAAGAGTAATAAATATGATATATTATCGGGGAATTATTGTTAAATGGTGCAGGAATTTTTTTTTTTACAGAAATATACAAGAGTGTAAGTGAGATTTTTATCTTTTTAAATTTTCATGTACACCTCACGATAGAATTACTTGCACTCCCATATGTTTATAATTTTTTTTCTATTTTTCACTGGACAGTAATTCACCTATATTGTTTTTATACAAAAAATAAATTAAAATGAAAGCAACCTCAAACAAATTTAAAAAAATAAAACTCGCACTCGAGTGGGATGATTATCAACCCTTAATCTTTCTATCTATCGAGATGGATAAATTTGTGATTCTTTAAGCCTGCAATTGCGCTACATTAAGTGATGTAACCTTTTGAATTTTGTTTTGGCAACGGTTAGAGCAAACACCACTAGATTCAAATGGTTAAAATTCATAGAAATGAACTCCAAATTATGCACTGTTGATTAACTTTTGTGCTTTGTAAGCATATGTTTGCACCATATCCCTCATGAAATTAAAACAATTTTATTTTTTTTGTGAAAATTGGAACATTTTTAGGGGTACCCTTGCAAAATCTACTCTTGTAATCCATAATGTTGTGTTTGAATCATAAATTTTAATAGAAATTTGAAAAATGAAACAAAAATAAAAAATAAAACTATTCCATTTACATGTTACTCATATTTTTTCTTTTTCTTTTCTCAAATTCTTACCAAAATTCATAATACAACCATCTGGAGAGGTACCTAGGTTGCCTTAAATGTACAAACACACCTCAAAAGGATATCAAGCAACTTAGGTTGCATTTTTCAATCAAATGACCTATCAGTATGAGAAGAAAAAAACATAAAGTTCAAAATATTTAAATCCAGACATTTATTTAATAAAACAACGCTTCATTTATGTT